AGCAATCCCATTTTGTTGCGGAGAGTCCGGAAGCGTGAAGGTCTGGCGGATGCCTCGTGTACGACAGTAGGCTCGCAGAAGGCCAGAGGAGAACTCTCCACCTCTGTCAGAGTGCAGACGCAGAACAGGAAAGTCCGAGTCGAAGCTCTGCCTGAGCTGGAGACGAGCTGCGCGGATTCAGTCAATCAACCTCTCAGTGACATCACCCTTGCAGCGCAAGGGGAAGAACGTGGTGTAACGCGAGTAGTCGTCAACCACCAGCAGGAAGTAGCGCTCGTGACCATGTCCACGGACGCGGGTTGGGCCCCACACGTCCATGTGAAGCGTCTGCAGCGGGGCCTCTGTCGGAGGAAACTGGGAGGAGTGAGGGGCAGCACGCTGCCGCCCCTCGACGCAGGGGACGCAGGCAGGGGCAGGCCCCGGGGGAAGGGGAGGGAGGGACCGGGGAAGACCAGAGACAAGGACACGGGACGCCATGCCTCGGAGACGAGGCAGGGAGGGGTGACCAAGGCGGTGGTGCCAAAGGAGAGTCTCGTGAGATAGGAGACGACACGAGCAGGGGGCAGACTCAGGACCAGACCTGGACGATGCAGCAAACACCTAACCCGACGCAGCTACCCAACCAGACGCAGTGACTGGAGGAGACTCAGTGGTCAGTGTGTACAGGCTCGACCCCGGCCGACGTGTAAACGTGGCCAAGTGTCGGCCTGTCGAGCCTCAGTGCAGTGTGTCACCCGCTGGCTCGCAGGAGTGAACTTGTGCACTCCCACATCCTGTAGGTCAGCACCACTCACCAAGTTCGTAGAGAACGAGGGGAGGTAAAGACCAGAGAGGGTGCCAGAGGGAGCAGCTGGACACGGGAGGACAGTGGAGAAGTTAGCAAGAACAGGACCCTCAGAGGGGTCTGCCAGAGAGACTGCAACTGGCCGACCAAGCGGCGTGAGTGCGGTGCGGTCTCGAAAGAAGGAGCGAGAAGCCCCCGAGTCAAGGGTGAAGGTGAGGGAGGCCGAAGCCGACGCAGTACCTGAGAGAGCAGACTCACCAGCATCTGAGGAAGCAGACACCCCAACACCTAGAGCATTAGCCTCGCTAGCACCGAGAGCAGCAGCCTCACTAGTACCTAGAGCAGCAGTCTCAATGCCCAGGTCGGGCGGAAAACACCGGTAACAGTCACCCTCATCACTAATAGTCACAGCATACATGGCAGCAAGAATAGCATCAAAGTCAAGGCCAAAGATAGCTACTCCCGCCCTAGACAGCTCGCCCCAGCGAGGGATCTCAGTGACCTCAGGGAACTGGTGACGCCAAGCGTCCGTAAGGCGGTCAAAGCAGCGCTGGGTGGAGTGCGCACCCCCGCACTGCTCACCCGCGCGGTCGCGGGTGCGTAGGACGTAGGTGCATGGACCAGTACCCCCACCCCGCTGGCGTGCAGCGTACCACTCACGGAGCTGCTGAGGGGGGGGGATGTCACGAGTGCGCTGCTGCTGCTGCTGCTGTCGCTGACCACCACCGGAGCCGACCCTCTGCGCAGCGCCACCCCGACCAGCTCCGCCTCCTCTGCCTCCGCCTCCTCCTCCGCCGCCACCTCCGTCACCTCCGCTCCCACCGCCACCGCCGCCTCCGCCTCCGCCTCCACTGCCGCCACCGACACCTCCACCCCCGCCACCACTCCCACCACCACCCCCTCCACCAGCTCCACCGCCACCTCCACCGCCCTCGCCAGCTCCTTCAGCGCCCTTGCCCCCCTTGCCCTTGCCTGTGCGGCGCTTCCCCGAAGGGGCAGACGCAGCGCCGACTTACTCGAAACCAACGAGGTCGGCCGCAGCAGCAGAAGCAACAGAGGGCAAGAGGGGTGAGGGAGAACACCCCTCAAAGACGGGGGTGCGAGGGTCACCACGAGAGGCTCCTACAGTGACTATGCTCTTCTCTGCTGCTAGGAGGGCCTTCTTGAGGAGGTCAACGGTGAGGGTGGTGGGGCAAACTGAGAGGAAGTGGTTCCTGACTACGCGGAGAGAGTCAGGGAGCCGGGCGACTATGTAGTAGAGGGTGATGTATATGGGGGGGGGGGGTTCTTGGCGCAGAATTCAGGAGGAAGCGCAGCGCGGTAGCGAGTGTCACTAGTGCGGAGGTGCGTAATGAGGTCAGTGACCGTGGGAAAGGCAGCAAGGTCAGGGAAGAGGTACGGAAGCATGAGGCGGCTCAGTGCAGCAGTGGCAGGGGAGGAGTAGCGTGCAACTACAGCATCGTACAAGGTCTGAGCACTCTTGTACTGGCTAAAGTGCGCACGCTCACAGGTAGGCAGGTGGCGACGCACAGCAAGACGTGCAGCATCATCCCGTGTGGCCCACTGTGAGCGAACAGTGGCGTCAGCATCAGCAGCAGGGACAGGAGAGGCACCAGAGGTGAGGTCAAAGAGGGAGAGACCGTCTGCCCTATCGCACTGTAAGAAAAGCTGCAGGTCATCTATCCAGATGTCAAAGTCAATGGCCCGACCCTCAGCGTCAAAAGCGAGGACAGTAGAGGTAGCCATAACAGCAGTAGACTAGCAGCGCGAACAGTAGGGTAAGGGCAGTGCAGTGACAGAGGCGCTGCTCTTACCGGACGGGGCGGCTCGGGCGGCTCGGCGGTGCGGGCGGCTCGGCTGCAGGGCGACTCGGCGGCACGGGTGCTAGGCGGCTCGGCGGCTGGGCTGCTGGGCGGCTCGGCTGCTCGGCTGCTCGGCGGCTCGGCTGCTGGGCGGCTCGGCGGCTGGGCTGCTGGGCGGCTCGACGGCGGCGGCTCCTGCCTCAGGGACGGCGGCGCCCGGCCGCTAGGGGCCGCGAAGGGCGGCAGAGGGGCCGTGAAGGGCGGCACTAGGGGCCGCCGAGGGCGGCGACGGGCCGTGAGGAGGCCGCGGAAGGCGGCTCGAGGAGCCACGAGGGGGCCGTAAGGGGCCGACGGGCGGGCCCGTAAGGGTAGGGTGAGGGGCCGTAAGGGCGGCTCGAGGGGCCGTACGGGCGGCGCGATGGGCCGTAAGGGCGGCGTTAGGAGCCATAAGGGCGGCACGAGGGGCCGTAAGGGCGGCGCGACGGGCGTGACGGGCCGTAAGGGCGGCACGAGGGGCCGTAAGGGCGGCGCGACGGGCCGTAAGGGCAGCGCGACGGGCCGTAAGGGCGGCGCGATGGGCCGTAAGGGCGGCGCTAGGAAGCCGTGAGAGGGCCGCTAAGGGCGACGCGACGGGGCCGTGAGGGGCCTAGCGAGGGCGCGACGGTAGGGAGAGGGCACGGGGCGCGACTCGGGCCTGAGTGAAGCGCGCTCCGGGCAGGAAAAAAATTTCGTGGTGGTGGGCCCTAGGAATCGTTCCCACTAGGGAACCTGCTCGATACCATGAGAAGAAACGAGGAATGAAATGACTACGTGAAAGTTGGGTACAAGTACAAACCCTAGAAATCTGTACCCCATATGTGCTACCCCACTATAGCCTATAGTAGCTATGTCATATAAATCTGACAGGACCACCCGGTTGACTTGGGTCAAAACACGGCGGACGCTGCGGCTTCAGCGGCATCGGTGACGGTAGAGTCGATTCGCCGGCCGGCACGAAAATCGTGACTCGAGGCTGATTCCTGGCCGCATTCGTCGCGTAGGGGTGTGTCGTGCCGTGGTCGTCATCTCCGTCGTGGCAGACGACGCCATCTCTGGCCGCGCTCGCGGGTTGCCCCACACTTCCGTGTCGCGATGTCTGTGGTGCGGGTTGTATCGGGGTGCCGGATGCTTGGGATTGTGTTCGTGCAAGGTCATTTTGCAGGGAGGTGCGTTTCGCCGTTAATGTCGCGGTTTCTTTGGAGCTTTCGTGCAGTTGTCGCAGCAGCTTGTCCAAGCGGTCCTGTGTGAGGGTGGTGACGTCGATGCGTTCGGCCATTCCGAAGGGCGTCGGCTCGTCTTAGTCTAGGCGCAGTCGTGGCTGCACGCGTTTACGAGAGAACGCAAGGACAGCGGCTCCTAGGGGCTAAGGTGCGTGAGTCCCTTCGAGTGAAAAATCAAAAGTTGATTTCCTGGGGTGCGGAGATGCGCGGTCCGAAAGAAAGAGGCTCTGATAACCAAGTGTTACGGGTGCAATGAATCGAAGTAGCGAGAATTGCACTAAGGTGTCAAACGAGTACAAAATGTGAGCGAAGGCATGAGCGAACATTTATACGCGAAACATGCAAACGATAATGCGGTGCGTGCGAGCTAGCTAGTGCTACGCTGGAAGCGAGGCTCGGGCTAGTCCCGAAGCGTAGGCCGACACGGCCGGTCCAGCAGTGCGAGGTTTGGTAAAACAGTGCGCGCGAAGTCGGCGAAGCCCCGTTAGGGCGTATTCCTAGCTTCGGGTCATCCGTTTTTTGTGTCATCCGAAATTGTGGGAGCCAATCAAAAAGCCCGCGGTTTGAGATTTGAATTTTTCGATTGGATCCCACAATTTCGGATGACATGAAGGCGGGATGACCCGAAGCTAGGAATACGCCCTTAGTAGTAACGGGCGAACAACGGCTGCTGCTATACGCGGTGTTGCCGGTGTTTCCCAAACCCGAACCAGCGCTCTGTTCTAGGTGTCGTTATTGGTGAGGAGTTGTAATCACTTCAGAGATATTGCATTCTGCGCTACTCTTCTTACAACTCGTAACATATTTTCTCTTCCCTTATCGATGTCTGAATTCCATAATTAGGTCGTACGAGTGATTAGGTTGTACGTTATCTCAGCCCGCGACTTGCGACGTCGTTAAGAACCAGATGTTCGGCAGATGCACAATGATGAGGTTTTAGTATGCGGGCAGCGCGAGGGAAGAAAAGCGATGAGGTTTTCAACTCCTGATAGAAGTACTGACGTGCACGTAAAAGTTCCGTACTTTATGCTGAAATTCAGGATGTGAAGACTCAAATTGGTCACGTATGTGTGACGTGGCACGATCAGCGCGGCCTTTACTCCGACGTGGTTCGCAGCGAGTGGTGGTGTACTGACGTGGACGAAGATGCGGAAGATGCTTGGCAAGTCGGACAAGGCCAAGCGTGCGGACACAGCGAGAGGCAAGACATTCTTACCGAGAACTGCAGTTCAGTACTTTGCTCAACGCCTAGCGATGCCAAGACATCCTTTTTTCGCGACGCCTCGAAACTTCGCGAATGTCTCCGGCGATTCGCGCGCCTTCCGCACGCCCTCGTCGCCCGCAATTTGTCGGCTCGTTCCGCTCTTTCCGGCTTCTGTATTTCCTCCTCATTGTGTATCTTGCTCTCAAGTCTCTCTGCCTCCAACGCTGCTCCTCCCCCTCTTTCTCCCCAGAATCACCTTGTTCCTTAACACCCCCCACCCTTTCCCCTCCTCCCCCCCCTTCCCCTCAGCCGCCCCCATCCAGGGCGCCTGCGTGCGGTTTTCCCTGGCGGACATGTTAACCGCGACGAACCGCTGGGCACCGCAGTTGCTGGTGGGCGACGGGTACCGCCTCATGTTCAGGGGCGTGGACCCGCGCGACGGCGCCACCCCGTGGCTCCTCAAGCGCTGCCGCGCGCGCGAGTTCGACGAGTTCCACGCGGAGGTGCGAGGGGAGGATGAGGAGAGGAGAGGGGGGGGGGGGGAGTGGTGGGGGTGTTGGGGAAAGGGGAGGATAGAAGAGTGTGGTGCTGGAGATCGTAGAGAGGAGAGATGATGGGGAGGAGAGGGGGAAGGTGCAACAGGCAGAGGTGAAGGGAGGAGAGAGAATGAAAGTGAAGGGCTGAGATCCTGCAACCTCCTCAACTGGGCCGCTCAGAATTATAGTTATAGGATTGTGCTGGTTCACCCACAGAACCCACGCGCTCACACATTTCCCATGGGAATCAGCTCTGCATTGTCGCCTCGTGCCCCACTGGAAGCCCGTCTGATACTGTCATACTGCCACATTACCAGCCCAGTCTGTGGAGCCGATGCAGGCGAAGGAGGAAAGTACACGTGTGAAGAACTGCTTCCTCCCCTCGTTTTACCCTCTCCCTCCCATCCCACCCGTCCCCCACCCTTCCTTCTCCGCCCTCCACCCTTCCTTCTCCGCCCTCCACCCCCTGGCGTGCCTTCCCCGCCCCCTCCCCCTGGCGTGCCTTCCCCTCCCCCCTCCCCCCTCCCCTCTCCCCCCTCCCCCCTCCCCTCTCCCCCCTCCCCCCTCCCCCCTCCCCCCTCCCCCCTCCCCTCCCCCTGGCGTGCCTTCCCCGCCCCCTCCCCCTGGCGTGCCTCCCCCCCCCCCTTCCCCCTGGCGTGCCTCCTCCCTCCCCCCCCCGCCCCCTGGCGTGCGCGCCATCAAGGGGCAAGCAGGTGACGGAGATGGGCAACAAGAACCACCCCAACCTGGTGCGCCTGCTGGGGTACTGCGACGAGCAAGACAAGCAGGGCCGCTGGGAGAAGGTCGTGGTGTATGAATCCATGCCTGCTGGCAGCCTGCTCGACCAGTTTCAACCGGGTGGGTCACGCATGCCGCATCACACACACACCTCTCGTTCTCACTGAGTCCACGTCCCAGTAATCACAGTAGGTGCCCATGCCAATTCCAAATATGCAGGTGCTTGCCTGTTCTTCCTTTCCCCCGCTCTGGTCCTCGCCGTGTGTACTCCTTTTGTGCGTTTGGCCCTACTGTGTCTGCTTGCATGACATCTGTCCATCGCATGCGTTTTATTCCGTTACGTTGGTCCATGATTTCTACCCTACAGTGTATTCTTTCTCTTGCCCTTGCAGGTTGCAGCGGCGTGCCTTTGACCCTGCAGCAGCGGCTGGGCATTCTCATAGGAGTGGCGCACGGGTTGGAGTATCTGCACAGCTTTGGCATCTTGCATCGCTGCCTTTGCCTTAGAAGCGTTTTTCTGGATGGCAGCATGCAGGTGAGTGTGTGTGCTGTGAGGCCACCATCCTCCACACGTTATCACACGACTCGCAAACATGCCGCACACTCATGTCGTGTTGTGGAGCAGAGCAAGATCCATAAAGGACCACTGGGTTACCCCCTGCGCCATTATTCTGATGCTGTACCAAGCGATTCTCTGTCTCCCTCTACCCCCCCCCTCCTGCCCGGCCACGCAACATGAGGCCATCCCGCACGTCACTGTACCACCCTTGTCCCATAAAACGCCATGGCAGGCGAAGATTGCAGGGTTTGACTATGTGACACGCGGGGCTGCAGGGGGTGGCGAGCATGCAGTGGTGGGCGTGCGTGGGTACGTGGATCCGCAGCTGCTGCTCTCCCAGGAGCACACACCCACTAATGACCTCTACAGGTTCCAACCCAATCTTTCTCAACTCTCTCCTTTGATTCTCTCATGCCGAGTGCACGCACGGGGAGGCTGGTTAGTTTGTTGCTCCCAGTGCCATGCTCTATTCTCAACTCTTCGAGAGTCTGTGCTGCCCCTCCCACCCTCATTCCTTCTCCATCCCTCCCTTCGCCCCTGCATGCGGCTCCCTTCCTCCCCTTTCGTCCTGCCCTTCCCCTTCCTCCCACCCATCCCATGCCCGTCGCCACCAGTCTGGGAGTGTTGCTGCTGCAGCTGCTGTCAGGCCGCATTTCCGACGCTTCAGGAAAGGCCATGCCACAATTTTTTAGTGACACTGTGAGTGCGAGTGGAGCATTGGGGGGGTAGCGAGGCGAGTTCGTCCTGAGGACGGGGACACTCGAATTGGGTTTATGCCTTCATGGGTACACTGTTTCTTCTTGTCAGACATGAAATTAGGGTTACTGGTGGTTGTCGAATTCAGTCGATGGTCACTGACGTCAAAATTCGATTCTCCACACGATTGGTCCGTTTGAGTGTCCGCGTCCTGAGAGGCATACCAGCAACGCAGTACCTCCATCGCCGGCAGTCATTCAAGTGGGGTTCTGGTCCGGAGACTTCTCAGGATCTTCCTTCCGTTCTGTTCTCAGGATCTCCTCCAACCTGCTTCCGTGTTTCTAATCTTGGGGTTCATGCTTCAGGTCTAAAGTCTGCATCTGACTTCCCCCCCCTGCATTTCACCCCACACCACACCATGATGAGACTCAGCTTGAAGCCAACAACCTGGCTTCTCTATTTGATCCCGCCCTCGCCTCCTCCTTCCGTCCACCCACCACCAACACCAGCGCCAGCATCCCGAGCAGCAGCCCCACCAGCAGCCCCAGCACTCTCTCTAGCACCGTCAGTTCTGCAGGCACAGCAGCTGATGCACTGGGTGTTCCCATACCGAATGCTCTTATTCCCAGTCTGGTGCGCCTGGCTCGTGTGGGACTCGCATGCACAGCCATGCCTTCTTCCACCCGGCCCTCCCTGGGAAGAGTTATTGCTGAGCTGGAGATTGTGCGGGATGACGTGGCAACAGCATTGAGGCAGATGGAGAAAGAGGTGGAGAGGCAAGAAGGGGAATTACAGGGAGAGGGGGTTGCAGTGGCAGGCCATAGTGGAAATGAGCATTTGGACTCTTGGGCCAATCCTTCCCACGCTGACCCTCTCTCCACATCTCCTAATCCTTCCACTCCCCCTTCGCAGCTTCCTCCTTCTCCTCCTCCTGTGGCCGCCCCCTCCTCCTCGTCCGCCCTCCCTCTGGCGCCGCTGCTGTGCCAGCAGGTGGCCATGGCGGACGTGCTGCGTGCCACGGCGGGATGGGCGGCAGAGAGGCGCATTGGCAGCGGCGGGTTTGGCGACGTGTATCGCGGGGTGAGCCCTTTTGACGGGTGCACGCCCTGGGCTGTGAAGCGCGCCCGAGTGCTCACCAACGACTTCCGCCGCGAGGTGTGCCTGTTGTGACTGTGGGGGTTGATGGTGATGGCATGGGGGTGAGAGGAGGGGCGGGGCGCAGCATGCCCAGCAGCAACGACGTCACAGACCAATGGCTCCAAAGAGAGGCCAAGATGCACGTAAGTGGTAGCCGAGATGAGCAATGAATGGAGCGAAATGCAGGAAGCATGAGCTATTGATCTGACACTGTGTTTTGCCCCTGCGGGTCTATCCCCCTCTATGCTACCGTATCCTCCCCCCCCCCCCCCCCCTACCCACCCTCCTCAACCTGTCCTTCAATCCTACCCTGTCACTCTGTCCCTCCCTCGTTCCATTCCAATGGCATCAGATTAACGAGATGGCATCGAAGCACCATCCGAACCTTGTGCGGCTGTTGGGGTTCTGCATGGACTATGACGCGGCATCGGAGCGCATGGAGCAGATCGCCATCTATGAGTTCATGCCTAATGGGGACCTCTACCACCACATGCACGCCCATGACACAGGTGGCCACCATGTCTTGCTTCTCCTCTTGCTGCTCTTGCCTGCTCGTCCTCTTTCTGCTCCTGCTCTTTTCATCTGATTCCTTTCTACTGCTTTTTTTTTCTTTCTTTCTTCGTCAGGTATTAGCACCCCCCTGACCCTGCAGCAGCGGCTGGACATTCTGATAGGAGTGGCGCGCGCGCTGGAGTATCTGCACAGCTTTGGCATCGTGCATCGCGACATCAAGCCCGCCAACATCCTGCTGGACGCCCACATGCAGGCGAGTGTGTGCGCTGATGGGCATCTTATGAGAAGCCAACATGCAGGCGAGTGCATGCACTGATGGGACACTATAATGGGGCACTGAAGCCAGCATGCACGCGAGTTCCATCAGGAACACTTTGACTCTTTGTCATTGTTTCAGGCGGAAAATTGTGCTCTCTTTTCCATTTTGCAGGCGAAAGTGTCAGACTTTGGTTTGCTGAGAATGGGTGAGGGCAGTGGTTCACTGCAATCCACACGAGTGATGGGCACACCGGGCTATGTGGACTCCGTCTATTCACTCACTCACATGGCCACTCCAAGTGCTGACGTGTACAGGTGGGAAGGCGTGTGCGCACACATGCCCACCTATGCTCTCTGCCCAAGCACGATGCCCTCATCTCTCGTCTCACTCAGGTGCTCGCTTTTCACTATAGTATCTTCGTTGCACATGGCTTCTCACCAAGAATCACTCGTCCGACTTGTCCTGCACATGCTCTCTTATTTTGAGGATTTTCTTTTTGCGTTCCGCCCTCCCCCACTCCCCCCTTCCCTCCCTCCCTCCCTCCCTCCCTCCCTCCCTCCCTCCCTCCCTCCCTCCCTCCCTCCCTCCCTCCCTCCCTCCCTCCCTCCCTCCCTCCCTCCCTCCCTCCCTCCCTCTTTCTCTCTCTCTCCCCAGCTTTGGAGTGGTCATGATGGAGCTACTGACCTGCAAGCATGTTGTGCTGCTTTGTGAAGATGGGTCACAAATCAACATCAAGGACTGGGTATGCTGCTGCTTCTTTCTTCCTTAAAATTATCTATCCCTCTTGTCTGACTTTCCGTATGTTGGAGATTTCTCTGTCACAGTTATTTGTTTTGTGAAAACCCTACCATATCCCCTCTCACTCACTCCATCTCTCTTCCTCCTATTCCTCCCTCACTTCCCTCCTTGTCCTGTTCCTCTTCCTCTTGCATGTCATCTCCCCCCCTCCTTCCAACACCTTTCCATCAACCTCCTCCTTTCTCTTCCTCAAAATTCTTACAGGTGGAGCAGGAGGTGGCGAGAGGGGACAGTGCATCTGTTGTCAATGGGGATCTCAATGCACCACATGCCATGGCCTCCAATCTAGTTGCTATCTCTCTCTCATGTGTTGCCAAGCTCATATCAAACCGACCCAGTATGAGCCATGTGCTAGCTCAGCTTGAAGCTCTGCGCAGGGAGCTCATGGGTGGAACACAGGAGAGAGTAGCCAGGCAGTTAGATGCAAAAGTTCAACAAGTTTCACTAGATTGTAAGCAGTTGGATGAGGAGCTTGAATTTATTTATAGAAGTGTGCAGGATTACTTGTGTGCATACCGTATTCTCCTCGACATAACACACTAGGGTAGATTTAAAAATACAGGGGAAAGAAGGGGGGTGTTCATAGGAAAATGATACATACCAATACCCGGGTCTAGTATAGCACATTTTTTTCAAAGCAGGAATGAAAGGAAACAAAAACTGTATTATGTCCTCACTCTTAGATTGTTGAACAGGGGCGCAAAACCGAGTCCTGGAGGATAACTGCACCCCCCACTAGAATCTGCCACATGGCAAATTCCAGTGGGTCAACTGAGGCAGCTTCGATGACAGCAATGCCAACCTCGCGCAGGGGTTCATGCAAAGAACTGTACATGGCCCGAGTCGCGCACGGTGCTGAGAGGTCACTGTACCTGTAACCTCTTGACATCCGTTTGGTCACGTCCAGGCCTCCTCACATGGCCCTCAACTTCCCTTACGTCAAGCGGCTCCAGTGCACGTTTTTTTACAAGAGCTCGGCAGGCTGTGAGAGCGGCTCCATTTTGTGCTCGTGCTTTGTAGTTTAAAGCAGGCCCTATTTTATCAGGGTAAATCACCCTGATACCCTGACTATCAGGGTGGTTTTTGGGTGTAACACTGATGCCGTAGGGTAATTTTTTTGGGACCTTGATTTTCCCTGATGTGCCAGGGTTTACGAATAAGGCACATTGTCGCCTCAGTGTTGCCGATCCTCTTAGCGAGTTTTACCCTGAAGTGAGTACCAACTAACCCCTCCCCCCCCTCCCTCCCACCCCCCCCCCCCCCCCCTCTCTCCCCCCCCCCCCTTCCCGTAACCCCCCTACCCCGTAACCCGGGCTTCCCGATTGCCAACTGTCAAAACTGTAAAATTCTTATTTTGTGCTCTGTAAATGACAATAATGTTCGAGAACATTGTACACTGATGCCTCATGGTTGAATATTCAAACTAAGCAGAAACCCTGATGAATCAGTTTTCCCACAAGGGGTCACACTGATAATCAGGGTTTTGAACATGTGCAACACTGATCGTAAGGGTTGGCAAAAACAAAAAATTAGCCTTGGTTTAAAGTCTCGTCTGCCATGGCGAGTGACACCATCCCCCTGTAGTTCACAAGCATGGCGTCATCGCCAGATTCTAGCAGTACCGTTGATAGGCGACAGCGCCCTTTTACCGTTCAGGCTAGCGCTGTCGCACGTGCACAGACGTCTCCTCGCCCTATCTTGCCCCAGCCGGATTCTCCCGGTAGTTCTTCTGCCCGGGATGAACCGAGCACTAGCTCTGACCGTCCTCGCCCCACCCTTCCTCGAGTTGTTGTCCCCACCTTTCCTGAGCGTAACCGCCCGCAGGGACAGATGAAGCGCAACGCCAACGCTGCCCCGCCAAGTCCTCACCACCGCATGTCGAAACGCCAGCGGAATGCCATCATCGCGAAGGAGAAACTTCAATGGTTGAAGATGCAGGGCTCTCAGCCCGACCTGTCTAATCGCGCGCTGGCGAAGCTCGCGAACGTGCAGCCCTGCCAGATCCGCGAATGGAAGAAGATGAGGGAGCGGCTGGAGGTCGTTTCCAGCTGCCGCCGTCGCCTCATGGGGCACGGGCGCAAGTCGAAGTACCCGTTTATAGAACGGGCTGTCTACTGCCAGTTCCTGAAACACCGAGCAAGGGGCCTTGCCGTCACGGTCAGCATGCTCCAGAAGTGGAGCGCCAAGTACATGAAGCACAGGATGCCCGGGGTCAACTGGCGCGCTTCGTTCCGGTGGGCGAATCGCTTCCGCGCGCGCTGGCATTTTGCGAGGCGGGTGAAGACAAAGATGGGACAGAATCTGGCAGCGGTTAAGTGAAGCGTAATCATGTTCTCGGTTAACCGGTGGTAATGTTCAGCTAATGTTTCTCGTTGCTCTGTTCGCAGATTGCAAGGCCAAGGTAGAGTCGTTTTCGGAGTTCTTGCGCCAGATGCGCTCTTTGCATGATTACCCGCTCGACCTCATCGTGAACGAGGACCAGACTCCGCTATTCCTGGAGATGCCGGCGGAGCGCTCGCTCGAGATGAAAGGAGCGCGAACGGTTCACGTACGGAGTGCAGGCTATGAGAAGAGCGTGTTGCTGTGAGGATCTAGGATCGGGCTCAGAAAAGAGAATGTGAATTGAATGATCACCTGGGTACAACACGAGGCTACAAATAGCAACACAAGGCCCAGTAACCAGGTGTTACGCGAAGGTTCTGAGAATCGCGAAGCGTCCCGAAGAGACCCTTCCCGAATTCGGTAGAAGGTAATTCGGTGGCAACCGAAAAGCCCAGAATTCGGTGCACGCAACCCAGCTCGGTGCTATAACTATAATAAAATATAGAAGAGCACCCAGCCTAGGAAATCAAGCAATTCATGCATGCATAAAATAATCCTATGCTAGAAATAGCATAATAAATTAAAGGCAAGCAAGCATAGCTGGCATAAGTCGTCGTACTCTCACACGTCCCCCCCTCAAAGCTGGGTGGCGTGAGATACACCCTGTTTGACAAGATAGTCCTTGAGAGCATGGCGTGCGTTGCCCATATCAGCTTCTGCAACCCAACTGTCCTCAGTGGGGTCGTATCCATTCCAGCGGATCAGGAACTCGAGGGTCTTGCCACCGCGGCGCCAATGAGTGAGAACGCACTCCACTTCGTACTCCGGTTCATCCTGTACCAGAACAGGTGGTGGTGGCGGTAGCTGCCGTCCCTAGAACTGTTGGTTGGGGTCCTTGTAGGGTTTCAGTAGTTGGACATGGAAAGCGTTGTGAAGCTTTTACGTATCAGGTGAGCGCAAGCAGAATGTTACTGGTGTCACCGATGCCTCAACGAGAAAAGGACCACAAAAGCGAGGCCGGAGTTTGGATGGGAGGTGAGACAGGTTCAAGTTGCGTGTGTCAAGAAGCACCTGATCTCCGACTGCTATTGAGTGATCACGTCGCTGGCGATCGGCATACTGCTTATGGGAGTTCTGCATCGTGGTGAATCGTCGCTGAGTCTTCTCCCATAGCTGCTGCATGGTGGTGACGAAGTCATGTGCGGGTGTGACGTGTGCCGGTGTTGTTGGCTGTTGTGGTGTTTGTGGTTCCCGTTCATAATACAGGAAAAAAAGAGTTTTTCCTGTGCCCGCATGAGACGTGTTGTTGTAAGCGAACTTTAGGGTTGGTAACTGTGTGTCCCAGTGGCTTACGTCGTCTTTGCAAGCTGTGCGCAGTAACTGTTCAACCCTCTGATTGAGTCGCTCTGTCTGTCCATCAGTCTGGGGATGGTATGCTGAAGACATCGCAAGCTTAGTCCCCAACAGTCCCATGAGCTCCTTCCAGAACTTACTCGTGAATTTGGGGTCTCTGTCTGAGATGAGTGTAGCGGGGATGCCGTGGATGGTGATGATGCGGTCGAAGAAGAGGCGAGCAGTTGCTTCAGCTGTAGCCGTGGCATTGGTCGGAATGAAGTGACCCATTTTAGAGAACTTGTCGATCACCACAAGTATAGCATCATGCCCTCGTGAGGTCGAAGGAAGTCCCCTAATGAAGTGGAGGCTAACGACTTGCCATGGCTGCTCCGGTACGGGTAGAGGCTGAAGTAACCCTGCTTTTTTCTGCTTGCTTCTCTTCATCCCCTGGCATGTGTCACATGAGGTGACAAATTGCTACACGTCTGCTGCCATCCCGGGCCAGTAGTAATACTTCGCTATTCCCGCTAACGTCTTGTTGCTCCCGAAATGTCCCGCGTAAGGTACGTCGTGAAACTCCTCCAATAGGATCTGCCGTAGTGGGGCGTAAATGGGTACCCAAATCTTTCCTGTACCCTTCCTTACAGCTAAGTCTTTCTCCCACTGTAACAGCTTCTTAGTCTGTGTTGTGGCAATCTCTTCATCCACGGAGTACCCATGTTGGAATAGACCCTTGAGTAGAGGGTTCATCTCGTTGAGATGGATGCCTGCTACATGACCGGGGCGGCTCAGCGCGTCGGCCTTGTTGTGTAGCTCGGGCTTGTAGACGATGTCGTAGTGGAAATAAGTTTCCAGGAAGCCACCCACCGCACCTGTCATCGTGAGAGCGTCGGTCGCGACTTCAGGTATTTGAGACTGCAGTGGTCAGTATAGACTGTAGTCTTGGCTCCCTCTAGGTAACACCTCCACGCCTTGAAGGCTATGTCTATCGCTAAGGCCTCCTTGTCATGGATGGGGTAGTTCAGTTCTGCTCTGTGTAATTTCTAACTGAGGTAGGCGATGGGCTGCAAACCGCGTCCGTGATCGTGCATCAATACCACTCCGATTGGCTGGTCACTAGCGTCGGCTTCCACCACGTAGTCCTTGTCTGGGTCTGGTAGGATGAGTACTGGCGCTGTAGTCAGTGCTGTATGTAGCTGCTCCATGGCTTCCTGATGAGAAGTATCCCATTTGTAGGGCGTATCCTTTTTCAGAAGGTTGGTCAGTGGCGCTGCTATCTTAGCGTACTGCGGCACAAACCTGTTGTAGTAGTTGGCGAAGCCTAGGAACTGCTGCAACTGCTTCACGTTCTCCGGTACTTTCCATTTCTTAATGGCTTCGATATTCCGTGGGTCCACGTGTACGCCCTCGGCACTCACCATGTGCCCAAGAAGCTGCACCTTCTTTAAGGCGAAGTCAACCTTCGACAGCTTCACGTAGAACTTGTTTTTCCGCAGGATCTTGAACACCTTCCGTAGATGCTCCACGTGATCCTTCATGTTCTTGGAGTAGATGAGTATGTCGTCCAGTTACACCACCACGCACTCGTCCAGCAGAGGACGTAAGATGAGGTTCATCTCCGCCTGAAACGTTGCTGGTGCGTTGCAGAGTCCGAACGGCATCACTAAGTATTCGCAGGAGCCGTATCTGGTACGGATAGCCGTCTTGTGGATCAAGTTGTCCGCCATCTTGATCTGCCAGTAACCCGACCGTAGGTCCAGCTTCGAAAAGACTATTGCACCACACAGTTGATCTAGAAGGTCATTGATGCACGGTATGGGGTATTTGTTTTTAACTGTCTGTTTGTTCAATGCGCGGTAGTTGATGCACATCCGTAGGCTGCCGTCTAGTTTTGTAGTGAAGAGAACTGGTGCACCGTAGGGAGAGGTGGATGGGCGGATCAGTTGTCTGTCCAGTAGATACTCTATCTGTTTCTTCATGGTTGTCAGTTCGGTTGGACTCAGTCTGTATGGTGCACGTGAGACGGGTTTCGCACCTGGTTCCTCCACGATCTCGTTGTTGTAGATGCACGCCTTTCTGTTGACCCAGTTGATCTCAGGGTTGAACCGCTTCAGGAAATCTCGCCCCAAGATGAAATCTAAACCATTGATGTTCATGATTGGCAATGTCGACTTCCACCTCAGCGCTCCGTTGTGCAGCTGTAGTGATGCTTCGCCGTGGATGGGAAGTTTCGTACCGTCCACCATCGTTGACGTGAACTTGGTCTCCTCCGAATTTTCTCCAATTTTCTCCAACGTCCTGCAGTCGCACACCGAGTGGGACGCACCACTGTCCACCAGTGCCTACAGGCATCGCCCGTTGCAGATCAACTCGAGTATAGTGGTTGTTGCTGCTCCGAGTAACTATAGATGGTCTCGCTTATAGGATCGTAGGGTACGTCGAATAGATCATCCCTCGGTCCTGCACTCGAAGCTGCTGACTCCATATCAGTTTTCAACTGAGCAGGGTTAGAAGGATTTATTCGAGGCCGATTCAGCTTCGTCTTGACCTGGAACCTTTCCCTAAGCCTTTGCAGCTGTGTAGGCTTCACATGTGGGCAATGGGGAGCCTTAACACTGTGCTGCGGGGAGAGATTATTAACTCCTTGGAACGCACGACCCTTTTCAACGCTCCGGAGTGGTTTGCCCAACTTCTCACGTACCTGAATAATGCATAAAGGCTTTGTCTTGGCCTTGAAATCTCCCGTGCTTTTTTCAAATGCTTGAAAACCTCGAGAGGAAATACTCTTACTCTCGGGGGTGTTCGGCTGGAGTTTCCCGGTCGGTGCAGAGTCTTGTTTCGCGGAGCCTCCATTTGTCTCGGCGATTTCCCCTATTGCCGGCCGGTCGTGGCGTTTTAGATTTGCGCCATCATGTCGTCCTTTTTTCGCCCGCTCCGAAGTCGCCATGTCTTTTGACTTCGCGGGTGCTGCACTTTTGTTGCCCTTCAGCTCTACTCGTGCCTTCTTCATTTTCCAACACGCCAAGAATCGATGTCCTGCTGTGCCGCATAATTCGCACTTCTCATATTTTGTCAACCGCTGCGTCGCGTCGACCTTGTCGATATCGATCGGGTCGGCGGTCGTGAGTGGTGCCGATCGCTCCGTGCTGAATGATCTGTTTTGCAGGTGTCGTCGTGTTTCGGGTTGACCTCGAGTCAGCGCATCGAATCTCTCTGCTGCACACACCATGTCGCGGTAGTTGTTGCAGTTCGCGGCAATCACCTGTCGGCGCACTTCCATCTTTAGCCCCTCAGCATACGCTTGGATTTTTTCCCCTTCGGTCAGGTGTGTTATTCGGTTGAAGAGGCTCTCCATCTGCTGCGTGTACTGTGTTATATTGCCGAGCTGTTTATGCCGATGAATCTGTTGCCGCGCCATGTAATGGAGTTGATTGGTTCGAAATGTTGAATTAAAGCTTCAAGAAACTGCGTCCATGACCCCTCGCCTCGGACCTCGTTGCTATTGTAAATCCACTCGAGCGCCGGGCGTCGCAACAGTGTCGCTGCGAGTCGAATCCGCATTGCATCGTCTATCGGGGTCATAGAGCAAACGGCCTCAAAGTAAATTTGGAGGGTCGCAATGAATCGACGGACGTCGGTGTCTCTCGCATTCGGATTGAACG